CCAGACCTGTCTGTCTTTAAAATCCTCACGGCAAGGGGGACAGAGCACCTGTTCCACTGAGTGCTGGACCCCCTCCCCACCCCCCCGCCACAAGCTGTGCTAAGCTGTGTTCACTAGCAAGACATGGGGCTCTGCCTTTACACGGGGCTCTTGCCTTTTAGCAAGACACAGTGTTGGCTTTATTTTCCTGATCTGAGTCCTTCCCCTCTCTGAAGTCTGCTTGTCACCCTCCTGGATTTGAAGACCCAGACCATAAGCCAGAGGCAGTGGCGCCTGCCTGCAATACCAGCGACCCAGGCTGTGGCACGAGGATCCAAGAGGAGCGCAAGTTCAAGGCCAGCCTCAGCACCTGGGTCAAACTTTGATTTTACCTCCGAGGACATACACCAATGCTCGATGACTTCCACTCACCATCAGCCTAATTACAAGTCAGCTTTCACTCCAAAAGCCACAGTCTTGGCCAGAGATCTGTATGTGGGGACCAGGAGATGTCCCAGCATCACCAAGTCGTGACACCTTGGGACACAGATCAGATCTTCATGTGCATAACAACCAAAGCACACAGGTGGTCGGCACAGGCTCATCCGGTCACTGAGTCTCACACACGGGAACACTGAGGCCCAAGGAGGTGACTGGACTTGCCACAGTCTCAGAGCTCTTGAGGGTCGGACTGGAAGAGTCCAGTCCTTCTCCGAGTCTGGCCTCTCTCAGACTCACTCTGCTTGACGCAGGTGCCATGGGGCCATCCCTGGTCTGATTCAGGAGAGACCCAGAGAAAGAAAGCCCTGAGACCAAAAGCCCTTCTCCCACATGTCCAGGACTTCCAGACCTCTCGCCTGTGGCTCTCAACCTCCCCAGGAAGGGCTCAGGGCTGCCCACCCATCCTGGAGGATGACATACTACCACAGGGCCCTGCTGTCCAGGGCTCCTTCCCCAGCCTCTCCCCAGGTGGCAGTCACACCAAGCGGCTGGACAGAGGCTGCAGTGGGGGACCACCAGGAGCTCAGCTGCTCAGGTGCTGCACTGCTCAGCTGTGGCTCGGGCTCCAGCCAGAGCTGCTGGCCGCTGGCTCTCCCGCCAGAGCCCAGTGGTTGGTGCAATGAGCCACGGCTCCTCACCCACTGCTCCCGCCAACTCCAGCTCAGGATCCTGCCCGTGTGTGGCTGAGGCCCCCAAAGAACTGGACGCAGGGATCTTCCACTTTTGCAAAGTCACCACCCTGGCTTTCACAGACACAAGGCCGCTACTGTGAGACATACGAAGGGGAAGGTAAACACCATCCCAAACCGTCCCCACCCAATCAGCACACCCTGGACAGCCTGGTAAACATGGTCTTGAGCGTGGTCTCCAAACTGCAGCACACACAGGGGTCACCCGGACCCTCACAAATGCAGCAGGTGTGGGGTGGAGCCTGGGGTTCTGCACTCCTGGCCAGCTCCCAGGCAGTGCCGCTGGCTCCGAGCACTAAGGCACAGGCCAGCAAAGGCCATGCCTCGCTCACTGCGGCACCTCCAACGCCCACTAAGGTGCCTGCATGCAGGCTAGTCAATTATTACTGAAGAATGCATGAGCAAAAATATGAGTATGCAGCTGGACTTAAATGCCACCATAAAACACGTGGTATTCTGAAACGTGCTCCGGCCACTTTGACATATTATGACGTCTCTTCATGTCACTAATGCCTGGTCGACATGGCCATTTTCAATGGTGAAGGGTAACTTTTCTGCCTCTCTGTACTCATGAGTCATAGGGTCCCATGCTGATGGACAGTTGGGGTGTTTTCGATAAGTAACGTGCACCCAGCCACTTACACGGATTTTTCCCACTGACACAATATCTCCAGGAGGTCTAACTGCTAGGTCAAGGGACATGCATAGTCCACGTTTTGGTATACTTTTGATCATGCACCACCTCTTCCCAGGGAACTGGTAGTCTTTGGGCCACAGATGGCTAAGAGAAAAGCCTTCCCACCCAAGGTCATGCTGAATGTCTCCTATTAGCAAGGATATTCCTAGAAAGGCAAAGGCTGCGAACAGCCCACAGCTCCTCTGCGTTTGGGGGAAGTCGGTCCTTCACTGCTGCCACGCTCTATTATCCTCCATCCATCTCTGTCTCCTTTCATTTTAACATCTGTGAATTTCATTACTCTGCAGAGTAGGGGACATTAGTGTCTGGTCAAGGAAACCAGGACTCTTTTTTTATCTTTCTAAATTTGGTCCGGGTGCAGGGCATCAATCTCTGCTGGAATTGGTCTGCCTGGGTTGCACGAATCACAGGCTAATGCAGAGTGGCTCTGGGCCTGGGAGCTGGTCCTTCACTTCACTTCCTGGGCTGCACGCACCCTCGTGTCTCGAGGTACCGACAAAGGACAGGGTCTCACTCCCAGGACTGCCCTGCTCGCCAGGGCTTCTCTAGAATTCCACGTCCTCCAAGGCAGTTTTGCAAAAAGCAACTTAGTGATCCACTGCAGCCCAATCCCGACGGATGCTTCTGAAAATTCAGGTTCCTGGGCCTCTCCCCAAGGGGAATCTGCATTTTTATTAAGCACAACCAAGGATTCCAATAAACACTGACATATGAACATCCTGGCAGAAGTCTGCCTATGACTTGAGTGTGTCCCCAAGAATGTGTGTTGAAATTTAATCCCCTTCCTGAGGTAGAAATTTAGTCCAACTGTGATATTTAAAGGTAAAGCCTTTGGGAGGGGATAAGGATTAAATAAATAGAGTGGGGCCCATGATTAAACCCTGGTGGCTTTATAAAGGAGAGGGACAGAAACCAGTAGAGACATGAAGTAGTGGGCTCCCCATCTCTTGCCGTGCAATGCCCTGGATCGATCCCCTCGGGTCTCTGCCAGCAAAAAGGTTATCACCGGATGCAGCCCCTGGACCTTGCACCTCCAAAATAAACTTCTTTTCTTTGTAAAGTTATCTGCCCTTGAAAATTTTATTATAGCAACACAAAACAGACTAATACACTTCTACTCAGAGATTCTGATTAAGTCTTACACCCTCAGAGAATGGCCTCATTATTCCTTTCTTTCTAGTACTGTTCCTATACCAACCAGCAGCCACTCCAAGAATCATGGCTATGGGGACAATTCTGACATCACCCCTTTAAGTCAAGTCTAACAATGACATCCCCGACTGAGGAGTCATCAGAGGAAGAACAGCCATGTGGCAAATACAGGCCTCTTCCTGGTCTTCCTCCAGCTCAACGAGATTTTTCTTCTTTCACATTTATGCACAAGGCACAAAATGCTTTACATACAAAGCTGTACATTCACACAGAAATGGTCGTGCCCTAGCAAAAAAGCCCTTTTAGCATTTTAAAACTCAAATCAATCTTGTAAGGCTTTATGCTTTACCTGTGCATGAAACAAAATAGGTTTTAGCGGGGGTGGAGGAGCTCCCCCTTTCCGTCCAATAGCAAAATGTTCCTGAGCATCCTTGTGTGGGGCAGGCACGGAGTCAGCTGTGGGGATTGGACAATGAAGACAGGCTGAGCCTCTGCATGCAATGCAAGGAGTGCCCTGAAGAGGGAGCTATGAGATGCCTAATCTCAGCCAGGTGAAGGCTGTTGTCAGGAAGGGTTCTGGGTGGAAAGTCTGCCTCTGATGAGATCCTTAACCAAGATAGAAACTAATAATATTTACTATCTGAGACCTTACTCATTCCATTAGTTCCTTTCACTTAACACCAATTCACAGACTCAATGTCATACCTGTAGAAATGAGGATATCCAAGAGACACCTAGGCCACGTTTGAAAGTTTAGCATTCATAGAATTGTAGAATGAAGAAAAATGTTCCAAGAAGCAAGAACGGCATGTGCAAAGGCCCAGAGGTGAGAACAACACAGAAATGACAGAACAGAAAAGAGATCAGTAGAAATGTGTTTTCTCATGTCAGTAAAAGTGTTCAGCACATTTAATTTAAAAATTTTAAAAACCTATTTTCATAAGAAAAGTGTTATGAGTCGGCTGCAATTCAATTCACTCTAAAGTTGGTAGAACGATGACATACAAAAGTTTAAATTAGAAAAAAATGAATTATGTAATTTACATAATATAAACCAATGTGCACACCTCTCAAAGTGAATACCCACATGTAGCCGTCACCGGCTAAAATTTTTGCAAAGAGCAATGTAACTGAAATTGCTAACGCATTCATTCTCCCAGCTGATTTTCTAAAAAGTCAAACTGTGGTTCCTTTTAAAAGTCAAAAATGACTTCATGGTTGGGAGCAAGAAAGCAAAGAGAGACTTACAAAAATAACAGACTTTCAAAAAGCAATCTGCCCTGGGTTCTGTAAGAAGTCAGGAGAAAGGAGGAGATGTTCTTTCACTGTGATCCCAGAGCAGACGACAAACAGCCCAGAATGTCAAACAGACTCCGAGAATTTAAGCCTGTGCAAATTCATTGAGCAAAAAACCCTCAGATTGGAGTAGAACCAAGTGTTATCTTTTTTTTTGGGGGGGGGGGAAGCTTCCCGGGGATTGAACTCAGGGGCACAACCACTGAGCCACACCCCCAGCCCTATTTTGTATTTTATTTAGAGACGGTCTTACTGAGTTGCTTAGCACCTCGCTTTTGCTGAGGCTGGCTTTGAACTCGCAATCCTGCTGGCTTTGAACTCTCGATCCTCCTGCCTCAGCCTCCCGAGCCACTGGGATTTCAGGTGTGCATCACCATGCCTAAGTGTTACTGATTGGATATGATGATGTTTTATTTCTCCCTAAAATAACACATCAGCCATTTCAGACATGCATGCTGGAGAGGCGTCATGGTTTAGATCTGGAACGTCCCCCCAAGAGTTCATGTGTTGGAAGCATGGTCCCCAAGGCAGCAAGGTTGAGAGGTGGGGCTTTTAGGCAATGATTGCATCCTGGGGGTGTCTGACCTCATCTGTGAATTAACCCATCAAGTGGACTAGTGGGAGGTGGGCCCTACTTGGAGGAAGTCTGTCACGGAGGAGGGTTCATCCTACCACGTTTGGTCCTCCTCTGTCTCATGTTCTCTCTCCCCTCAGCCTGTTTCTGGCTGCCGGGAGCTGAACAGCTTTCCTCCTCCACTGAGCCCTTCTGCCATGATGATTCTGCCACGGAGCTGGCTAACCCCGGATTGAGACCTCTGAAACCGTGAGCCAAAATAAGCCCTTCTTCCTCTAGGGGGTTGTGGTCAGGGATCTGGGTCACAGCGACGAACAGCTAACACACAGGAGCGAAAGAGCCACAAACACAAACTAACGGGAAAAAATAAATATGGAAAGAAGGCAGGCGGGGGGAAACAGCTTTCCCAGACGATTCGGCCATAGAAAACTCTTCCCACACATCTGCTTTATGCCTGAAACAGGAGTTCTATAACCTGGGGCTGAGGTCAGACGGGGACAGGGTTCCTAAGGTCTGGATTTGTGTCCTCTCCCAGGTCTGCCACGTAATAATAGCTGAGACCTTGGACCTGAAAAAGGAGACAAAGATCACACAGAAAAGCTCAAGAAATAAAGTGAGATCTTGTGCCTACAGAAGGCAGCCTGTCCAGCGGGGGTTCGCTCACACCTCCACTCCCGGCATGCCTCGGGGCTCTAAGGTGGCTCCTCTTCACCCAGACCGCTGCCCCTGAGAAGAACCAGGAGGAAACACTGTAATCTTCAGACAGTCCAGGCCTTGCTTGCTCAGTTATTCACTGAAGCAACACTGACTCTGAGTCTCTGCATGTCACACATATGACCTGAGCCAGCCAGGCGCCCCCAGCTAAGGAATACCTGACCAAGAAGCCAAGAGGGATAATAAACAGATAACTGCCATGAGAGGTGATAAATGCTCTATGAACTGAACAAGCAGTGGCCTTTCAACAGTTAATCACAGCATTTAGGAATGCAGGGATGGGGGTCAGCCTACCCGGGTTCAAATCCAGCTCTACCACTTACTGGTGGTATGATTCAGGGTTAATTATCTGGCCTCTCTGTGTCTTGATTTCCTCACCAGGACACGGAAACACCCAGGAAACGGCACTACCTACCTCGGTGAGTCGTGGGGTTAAAAGAGACAATGTCATTACTGCTTAGAACTTTCTCTGGTGGCTAGTACTGTATTAGCTACTGTTATCTATATCCCACATTAGCTATCATTATTTGATATTCCACTAGAAAATATATGACAAAAGACAGTATTTCCTACTTAGTGCTACATATAATATACAGTATCCACCATTGTCTTATTATTATCATTTTTAGTTTCCACCCAGCAGTGAATGCTCAAAAAATGAATGGGAAACAGTTTAAGTGCAAAAAGGACTCAAAAAACGCATGTGACTCCCTCAGGCTGGGGAAGCCCGGGAGTACTTCCTAAAGCGTGGCTATTTCAGCTGGGTATGAAATATCTCAGGAGCACGCTGGTGAAGTAGGAGAGAGAAGGGCACTCCAGGCAGGAGGAGTGGCAAGAACAAAGGCTCAGAGGTGAGTCAGGTCACATCTCACGGAAAGGTCAATGAGAAGCTGGGGCACCTGGAACATGGAGGATGTGGCAGGAGGTGAGTCTGGGAGACAGGCAGATAGGAGTCGGCATTCATCCTGGGAGCCAGCAGACATTTTTATTAAAAAAAAAAAAAGTGATGTGTCAAGTCTGCTTTTTATGAAGAGAATGTTTATAGACCCATGGGATATTATAAGGCCATGTAAGTCAAAGAAATTTCTTCTACACCTACCACAAAGCCCTTAGGGAACAGAAGAGAGATGCGTCTACAATATTCTTTGGACTTTTAGAGGAAAAGGTGCTAAAGACCATATTAGAATGTAAAGTGACTACCAGTGTCTTTTAAAATGATATTAAGAATGACCAGGGAAAGCATCCAGGCAAGTGTGGGATTTGGAAATCACAACCAGCTATTTGTTTTGGCTCTCTAGAATGCACATGCATATGTGTGTGTGTGTGTGGGGGGGTGTTGTGTGCTCACATATTGAGATGAAAATTCCAGAAACTCCATACACAGAAACTAAGGCATTCCCAACCGATACGTCTACAGACAGGTCTTGAGGGGATGAAAAAGATCTAAAAGATCATAAATCAATGTGGGTCTGATAACTCACCCTCCCGAGGCTTTTCACCACTTGGTGGAAAAACTTACAGACGGAGGATCTGAATCCCTGGGATTAAGAGCAGATGTGGGAGTAGAGATGGGAAGAGAACAAAAATCATCGTTCCCACCTCGAAAAGAGAACTTCCTACAGAGACAGCCTCTGGCTCCATGAAAGGCGATATCCAAGGGACAGCTCCTCAGGAGTGTGGGAGAATGAGAAGGAGAACGGGGCGGGGGGCTCAGAGGCAGGGCCGCTGGCTTAGCACGTGAGACCCCGGGTTCAATTCCCAGAACCTCAGAGAAAAGGAAAGAAGAAGAAAGGAGGCGGGGAGAGAAGGAGGGGAAAGGAAGGAAGGAGGGGAAATGGGGTAAGGGGAGTGTGGTAAGGAGAGTCAGAGATAGTTGAGAAGAACCCTTCTCGCTGGCTGGGCAATGAGGGTCATCTTTACCAAAGGGTTTCATTTTTTCTGAGCATCCACCCTCTCCTGTTCCCCTGGCCTCTGGCAGTGTTTGAGGGTTTTCTTCTGAAAACATTCTAATTTCTGTGCATATTTTTTGCCTTCAGATCTGTGAAGAGGAAGCTGGTTTCTGAGGGCTCTCTGGAGTCGCTGGGGTCTGGTTTCCAGCTCCCCCAGACAGACAGAAAGACAGACAGACACACACACACAGACACACACACTCCACATCAGCAGCAGAACCCTGGAGCTCAGAGTTGTCTCCTGCAGGGAGACCAAGAAAGGCCCACGACGTGAGGATGAAGTCACTTGTGACCCCACAGGGCAGGGACTCCACTCACGAGACATGGGGTAAGTGTCCCCAGAGCACAGCAAAGAGGCAGGGCCCCTACAGCTGCTCTGGGGCTGTATATTCTCTGTCATGATGTAACTGGAAAAGATCCCTCAGGAAACAACTTTAGCCCTCCACAAATCCTGTCCAGGGAAGGTTTTCACCAAGGCATCCGGAATTTTCTATGATGCTTTCAACACCAGTCACAGGAATCGGATAATCCCACAGCCGTCATCTCGTGGTAGCGGTGGGGCTAACTTTAAAGACAAAGCAGCAAGCCTCAGCTTCTAGCTCATCCTAAAAGAGAAGTGACTCTCATTCCTGGCTGTACAAATCCTGGAAGACTCAAAAAGAAAAAAAAAAAAACTGAAACCAATAGATCTGAAGTGGCCAGACTAATACCAGACAAAACAGAAGACAATCTCCTGGAGAGAAAGTAGGACTCTTGTGAGACAATGGCTAATCCAGCCAGAAGATACCACCAAGTGCATCTAAGTCACGGCCTGGAAGCAGAAGCTGTCTGAATTAAAGGTAGAAACAGACAAACAAACAATAGTCGGAGACTCTGATACTTTCAGAAACGGATAAAATAACTAGGCTGAAGATTAACAAGGAAGAAGAAGTGACCAGAGTGGTGAATAAACGAGGCCTGACAGAGTCTCCACAACAATCCACCCAGCAGGAACCAGACACGCTCTCTTCTCAGTTGTACACAAAACACTCTCAGGCCATGAAACAAATCTCCATAAATTTAAAAGGAAAGAAATCATTTCATGTGTGTTTTCCAAGCATAATGGAATGAAATTAGAAACCAGGAACCAAAGGAAATCTGTGACTTACAAATATGTGGATATTAAATAACACACTCTTGAATAATTCACAGTCAAAGGAGAAAGCTCAGCCAGGTGGTGCAGTGGTGCACACCTGTAATCCCAGCAGCTCAGGAGGCTCAGGCAGGAGGATCCCAAGTTCAAAGCCAGCCTCAGAAACTTAGCAAGGTCCTAAGCAACTTAATGAGACACTGTTTCAAAAAAAAAAGAAAAAAATAAATACAAAGGGCTGGGGATATGGCTTAGTGGTTTAGCACCCCTGGTTTCAATCCTCCATATAAATCAATAAATAATTTGAAAAAGAAGAAAGCACAAGCAAAATTAGAAGATACTTTGAGATGAATGAAAGAAAACCATAATATACCAACACTTAATGGGGTACACATAAAGCAGGGCTGAGAGGAAAATTCATAGCTGCAAGTGCCCACCTGAAAAAGAAGATCTCCAACCCACAAAACTACTAGAACTAACAAATAAGTTCAGCCAAGTTAAAGGACACAGGAGGAATACACCTAAAGCAGTTGTTTTTCTCTATACTAGCAATTGATCCAAAAATAAATTTAAGAAAACAATTCCATTACCTTTGACACAAAAATAATAAAATACTTAGGAATAAATTTAACAAAAAAATGCAAGTCTTGTCCATTAAAAACTACAAAACATCATTGAAAGAAATTAAAGACTTGCGTAAACAGAAAGACATCCCATGTTCATGGATTGAGCATCTAACTTTTTTTTTTTCATCTAACGTATTTAAGACAGCAATACTGTCCAAACTTGTCTACAGACTCAGCAGGATCCCTACCAAAATCTCAGCTGGCTTATTTGCAGAAACCAAGAAGCTGATCCTAAAATATGGGAATGCAAGAGACTTAGAATAGCCCAAAGCATATTTAAAAAGAACCTGGGTGGAATGACTATCACATCTCAAACTGTACTGCACAGAGCTAGTAATCAAGACAGTGTGGCTCTGGTGTAAGAATATACATATGGACCCAACAGAATGATATTAAGTCTTTTACAGTTAATTGATTTTTTACAAGAATTCCAAGAAAATTCCCTGGAAGAAAGGCTAGTCTTTTCAACAGATGTCTGGAACAATGGAAAAACCGGAAAGTCCTATGGGAAAAAAACCAACGGGACCCCTGCATTGCTCACAATGGAATCCTACTTTGTAATAAAAAGGAATGAAATCTGATGTGGGAGACCACGTGGCTGAACCTTGAAAACATCAAGCCAAGGGAAAGAAGCTATATGCAAAGGGCTACAAAGTAGAAATTCACTTCTACCAAGGGTCCAGAAAAGGCCAATCCATAAAGACAGGACTAGGTGGGTGGCTTCCAGGACCCAGGGGAGGGAGGAATAGGTAGTGACTGCTGATGGGTTAGGGTTTCTTCTTGAAGAGATGAAAATGTTATCAAAGTAGAGAGGGGCAATAAATGCACACCTCTCTGATGGAACCAAATAAAGAAACAAAGTTTTAAGGGAACTTCTGAGATCTGAGAAGATTGGCGACATCAGAAATCAAAGAGCAGCAAGTTGCTATATCCACACAACTCCTCCCCAGCGCTTCTGGCTTGCTTCCTGGCAACACGAGGCAGTGCTTGGGCAGGGGTGGGTGACCATCCAGGGCATCTAGTAGCCAAACCAGGGATGCTGCTAAACAGCCAACAATGCACAGGAAGCCCCCACAAAACAGACACCTCTGTCAATATGTTTGGAGACTAAAGAACCTGTACTAAGGAAAGGTCAATATTCTTGGCTATCTTTTTTGTCTTTTCTGATTAAAAATTATATATATATTAATGGTTAATTTAGCAATAGTTAAATTATGAAATCAACCCAGATGTCTGTCAATAAATGAATGGATTAAGATGCTGTGGTAGGGGCTGGGGATATGGCTCAAGTAGTAGAGCGCTCGCCTGGCATGCGTGAGGCACTGGGTTCAATCCTCAGCACCACATAAAAATAAAATAAAGATACTGTGTCCAGCTAAAGCTAAAAAGTAATATTTAAAAAAAAGATGCTGTGGTATACAGCTACAATGGAGTTCTGTGCAGCCACAGAAAAGAATGAGGGGCTGAGGTTGTGGCTCAGTAGTGAAGCACCTGTCTCACATGTGTGAGGCCCTGGGTTCCATCCTCAGCACCACATAAAAATAAATAAAAAGGTAAAATAAAGGGGTACTGTGTCCTTCTACAACTAAAAGTATATTTAAAAATAAAACAAAAAAAATGAAATTGTGGCATTTGCCAGTAAACGGATGGAGATAGAGAATAGCACACTAAGTGACATAAGCCAAACTCAGAAACTCAAAGGTGGAACTCATATGTGGAAGCTAAAGAAAAATAAAGGAGAGGAGGAGGGAAGGAGGGTATAACATAAAGACCAAATATACATTAATAGACAAGTGAAAGGAAATCTAGTAGAATGGAGGAGGGAGAATGGGGGAGGGAGAATGGGGGAGGGAGGTTGGGAGGGGGGAGGGGAAGGGGGAGGGAAAGCAGGGATCTATTTCCATGCCTTCATGAGTTTGTCGGGATGAACCCAACAACTGTCTATAACTCTAAAGCTCCCATAAAAAAGAAATGAAGTGTCAGGAGTCAGACAGACTTAGGTCCAAATCCTGGATCTACTCATGCCACAGCCACGTCCTTGAGAAAGTTGCCAAGGATTTTATTTCCTCCCCTGTGAAACGGAATGATGAACAGGACTTTACAAAGCGACTGCAAAGATTGGATGAGAAGATCCAGGGCATCAGCAAGGGCTAAGAACTTTTACTATTATAACTTTTTTTTTTTTTTGGTACTGAGGAGTGAACCCAGGGGTGCTCAACCACTGAGCCACATCCCCAGCCCTTTTTTGTATTTTATTTAGAGACAGGGTCTCACACTGAGTTGCTAAGTGCCTTACTAAGTTGCTGAAACTGGCTTTGAACTCCTACCCCAGGCTCTCGAGCAGCTGGGATTACAGGTGTGTGCCACCATGCCCCCTAATATAACTATTGTATTCTGGTTTTCTTTTTTTTTTTTTAAAGCTACCAGTGGGGCTTAGTAGCAGGAAATGGGTGACTAGATCACCTTAAAATAGGATTATTCTATCTAGTAACAGTTAGTATGTAAACGAGGGCATTTCATGAGCTAATAAGAGCACAACAGTTCGTCACTACACCATTACAACTGAGCTAAAGAGGGACTGGCCGCCGAATACCCAGTTGCCATAGTAGTGAAAACCTCTGTGGGTCTGATTCATTTTCTTTCCGGCAACCCTTTCTATCTGTCAGGCTGGGCTCTAGGTACAAATCCCCCGCTCAGTGGTGGAGTCTCTTAGACTTACTAAACCTAATATTATTCTGCTGCTCAAAAGCCAATTTGCTGTAGTCGAAATTGCCACCGAAAACAAGACAAGATGACAGCCAGTCATTTGCGGTGGGTCTTTGTAATGGAGCTCACTAGTTAGCAGTGCACGGGAGACATATCAAACCACCCCCCCACACCCGCCCTGGGGTGCTGGAATAAGATTCCCTCATCCTCACCGAAAATGAGGGACAAGGAAAGACAAGGACCTTTCCTGAAGGTTCACTATGTGCTGGGGCTTTAAGGACCCTGCCTCCTGACACTCTGCAGGACACTCCAGGGCAAGAAGGTTTCCCACACTGTACAGAAGACACTGAGGATCTGAGAGACACCTGTTCCAGGAAGGCACCCAGTATATACAGTTATTTGTCATACAGTCGTAATTTGTTTTCATAATTTTAGGAAAAGAAATCGGCTAAAATGAAGAAATCAAAAACGCAAGGGAAAAAGGACGTTATAGGGGGAAGTAGGAGAAAAGGTGGCTATAGGCAAAATGCATCCCATAAACTATTATAGGATTACTAACATCAGTTCCCAATTCCTCTCTCTTTTTTCCAGATTGAATCTAGGGGTGTTCTACCCCTGAGCTACATCCACAGCCCTTCTTTTTTTTTTTTTTTTTTCTTTTGAGAGAAGGTCTTGCTAGGTTTCCCAGGCTAGTCTTGAACCTGTGGTCCTCCTACCTCAGCCTCCCAAGTCACCAGGATTACAAGCATATACCTACCACCACACCTGGATAAAGGCTCAAAAATTTAGTGTGAGTTTCCTAGTAGCCAAAGCATCAAAGAAAATGTGACCAGTCATGAGGTGAGAGAAAGGTATACAGAACATTAAATCCTAACTTTTTACGAGACTAGAGATTTCTGGTACTCCCTCACCATAACCCCAAGACACAAGTATGAAAAATCATAAAATGTAAGTCGGTTAAGAACCTGAACTCAGGTCACACTAAATTCCAATCCCATCACGGGATGGGTCATGCATGCACTCAGAAAGGATGGATGTGAGTTCTTCATTCATATTCCATGTTCATTTCCTCCATAAATAGTGGGGTACAGTGAGTAAGAGAATCAACTCTGGAGCTGGGCTTGTGGCTCAGCGGTAGAGCGCTTGCCTAGCACGTGTGAGGCACTAGGTCTGACGCTCAGCATCACATAAAAATAAATAAATTAAATGGAGGTGTTTTTAAAAAGAGAGAGAATCAACTCT